GTGTGTGTTACTGACCGTGTGTGTGTGTGTGTGTGTGTGTGTGTGTGTTTTAGGGTGCGTCTGAGCAAGCGGCGAGCGAAGGTCGGCGCTCCGTTGTCTACGAACGCTGTGCTGGTGTGCAAACACAGAGACATGAACGAGAAGGAGCTGGAGGCTCAGGTCAGTTCACACCTCGCATCACAATCATCTGAGATCTCAGATCAGAATCTGCTGCTGCTACATTAACTTCAGGAACAGCAGATAGAGTTCCTTTGCACAGAAGGCATTGATGTGGTGTGAGCGCAGTCACTGATCTGTGTGTGTGTGTGTGTCTGATGGACAGGAGGCTCGCAAGGCTCAGCTGGAGAATCACGAGCCCGAGGATGAAGAGGAGGAGCTGGACATGATGAAAGACCTGCAGGACTCTGGTAACACAAACACCTTTGTATCATGTGCCTGTGTGTGTTTAGCACAAAGCCCTTTGAGATTTAAAACCCGCTCGCACCAAGAACAACTAAAAATTATAACATTGCTTATAAAAGTGACGGATGACAAAACTGCAGTGTGTGCTTAGAATAAACAGTTAGTTATCCTCATAGCTATCACTATAGTTATCATCATATTGTTATAGTTATCGTCGTAGCTATCACTATAATTATCCTTATAGTTATCACTATAATTGTTATAGCTATCCCTATAGTTATCATCATAGTTATGACGATAACTTATCTCTGTAATTATCATTATAGCTATAGTTATCATCATAGTTAGTTATCATTATAATTATCGTTATAGCTATCATTATTGTCATAGATATTGTTATTATAGTTATCGCTGTAATTATTGTCGTATTTATTTTTATCATAGTTATTATTATACTTTGTAGTTATCGTTATAGTTGCTGTCATAGTTATCATTGTTATTGCTATAGTTTTTGCAATAGTTATCATCATAGTTGTTGTTATACTTAACGTCATTGTTGCTGTTATAGTTATTTTTACAGTTACAGTCATGGTTATCATTACAGTTGTGATGAGCGTTTAGTGCATGATGTTATTTGTATCGTAAACCTTCCTTTGATGTGAATGTAACAATTCTTCTGTGCTCAGGCGAGGAGCGCGAGAAAGCCAGCAACTCGGACAACTCTGAGAGTGAGTCTGAGCGTGAGGATGAGGAGCGTCCCGCGGATGAAGAGGAGGAGGAGGATGAGGAGAGCAGCAAGAGGCGTGAGAGGAAGAGCAGCGGCAGCGAGAGCGGCGAGGACCGGCAGGCGCGAGACGAGGAGGAGATCTTCGGCAGCGATGACGACAGTGAGGATGATGAGGGTGAGCGCGCGAGGAGCAACAGCAGCAGCAGCAGCAGCAGCGTCCAGCACAGCGGCAGCGAGAGAGCGTCCGACTCCAGCGACGACAGCGAATGACCAGCAGCTCGTGCTGTTTCCTGTTCCTGTTCGCTCCTCTGAACTCTGGTTTCATCAGTCTCATGTCCAGCTGTCTCTTAATCCCAATGAAATCACATGAGAGCCACACAGACGTGCGAGTGCACTGCAAAAAAAGGCTTGTATTACATAGTATTGTTGTCTTGTTTCTAGTAAAATTATCTGAATATTCTTAAATTACGATGCATTCACTAGATAAGCACAATGACGTAAGATATTTAGTCTTGTTTCCAGGTGGAAAAAAATTTAAATTAAGTGCATTTTGCTTCAAATAAGTAGAATTATCTGCCATTGGGGTAAGTAAAATAATCTTGTTTTCAAAATATTTTACTTTCCCCACTGACAGATAATTTTACTTGTTTTAAGAAAAATGCTTAAAGTGCTTATCTAGTAAACACATCTTAATTTAAGAATTTTCAGATATTTTTACTAGAAACAAGACAAAAATACTAAGTAAGATAAGCCTTTTTTGCTGTGTGTACGTGCGTGTGTGTGTGTGTGTGTGTTTCATTTCTCTGCTTTTTCATCATGGACTGAGCGAATCATTTATTAGTGAGCATCTTTTTTGGTAGTTTTTCTCTGATTACAGTGTAAACATTGTAAATAAACAATGATTTAGTTTGTTTTCTAGAAGTGAATGTGATTCTCTAGAGCCGAACTGATGTCATGCACTAAAAATCACCAAACGCACTGAGATTGAGACGTGATTTATGTGATATTGATTCACTCGCACACGATTCACAAACCAGTTTCTCCAGACTCACAGGCACGATGTCTTACATAATACATGAAATGAAGTAAGAGTAAGAATTATGATGGAATATCTAAAACAGAATAACTTCTCACTGAACAGAGATCAGTTCTGAGCGTAGCTTCTGAATGATGCTTAGCAAAAAAATGACAATTTCTCCTTCAGTCTGGATTACGAACCTCAGAAATCTACAGAGAGAGAAAAGATTTATAGATTTTATGAATCCGTGTCAACAGCAGTGCCATGAAAAATAGTTTTGAACCTTCTGAAACAATTAGTAACATTTAAAAAACATTAGATGAACGCCCAACTAAAATGTTTCAGAAAGATGTATGAGTAATGTTTTTGTGTTAATGAGTCACACTCATGGTCTTCGTGGTCAAAAGTGACCGGACACCTGTAATATAACTTTTTTTTTCTTCAGTAAAATCAATCTAATATATTTTTGTTCAATAATATTTTTTCTTTTGTATTTTGAGAGAATTTTATGGTACTAATTAATATTTATGCAATAATTTTGATCAAATTTTCCCATTGAAAATAGTACAGATTTTTGTTCAAATTTAAAAAAAAATTATGTTTCAATTAATGCAGTGTTTCAGATTAAAATAGAGACTAGGCCTTTAAAATCAAATTTTTGAAGACAGAATAGCACCTCCTGGTGAGAGCAAAGAAAGAAAAACCTGTAATTTCATGGTGTAACCACTAGATTCCTGTATAGGACTCTATAGAGAGGCTTGTGAATTCCCTAGTTGTTTT